AGTAACGGAAAGCACTGTCTCTCTATTATAGCACATGTAAGCAATAAAAAGTTGCCCAGCTATTTGGTTGCATGTGGGAGGTGCAGTGGCCTCATGGTTAGTGCGCGCAACTATGGATGGAACATTCCGGGTTCCAGCCCTGGCCAGGGACATTGTGTTGTGTTCTGGGCAAGACACTTTACTCTCACAATGCCTCCCTCCACCCAGGTGTATAAATGGGTACCAGCAAATTTAATGCCGGAGGGTAACCCTGCAATGGACTAGAATCTCATCCAGGGGGAAGAGGACATAATCCTGTTCACTTCATGTTACAGAAACTGGAGATAAGCGCCGCCCTGATGGACCGTTCGGCTTGTATGCAGACTTTACCTTTTCTTTACCTGTTCGGGTGCACAGCATTAATGATTACAAATAAAATTTCTGTTACTGTTTTTGTGCACATACACATTTAACAAAATGACTTTGACAGTTGCCAATTGATTTAAATATTGTCCTCACCATAGGACTCATGGGTTTGAATCCCTTCAGGGGTTCCACAGGAGCATGAGGATGGAAGAAAGTGTCCCCGATCTGAGCATCTTTACTGTTCCTTATTCCACAGGCTACAAAGCCAACTTGGCCAGCAAATCTGATGATAATATGATTATAAATGAACAGCTAGAGTAACCTGATCATGTATACTAAAGGCATCCATGGTCAAGTGTTGATTGATACCCTCAGTCGATACCCCTGATCAACTCTTGATTGATACTTGATCGACAACTCAGTCAACACTTGATTGACATCTCAGTCGACAGTTGGTTGAGAGTCAATTAATTTTTGCAGACATGCCATTGAGTGTTGATCAATACATAAGAGTCAGTCAACACTCAGCTGACTATCCACAGACTGTCGATCAAGTGTGGATCGAGATGTTGATTGAGTGTCAGTTGCATGTTGACTGAGATGTCGATTGAGTGCTGATCAAGAGCATTGATCAACACTTGACACATGATCTCTCATCTGAAAGTTTGTGTCTAAAATAACTCTACATACACAATTTTCTTTCCACAGAATGAATGTGACTTTAAGAGTATTGGTACTACGCATGAATGTGATGCTAGTGCAACACAAACATCAAATTGTCCGAAATAGCTTGATGATATCCATCTGTACTGTGAAATGGCTTAAAAGAAATATGTTTCTTTCCCAAGAAACACAAACTTCTGGCCATTATGACTTAAAATACTAAAACTAAATTTTGCTACAATTAACAATTGACTAAAAACTAGTTATGATGTTGAACTTACAGTGCACCAGTGGAGACTTCTCCAGGGTGCATAATCCCAACATCCAACACCTCGTACTTCTGCTGAGTGTAAGCAGACATAACTTCATCTCCTGCAAGGAAAGGTGAAGAGATAGGTGTGAGCAAAACTGACTGAATAGTAATGTGAAATTTATAGGGCTTGCCATAAATGAATTTTCAAACTTGGCAAAAATTAAAGAAATTCTGCACAAGTTGGCTTGTTTGACTTAGAGCAGTTTAATAGCCTGTTTAGGCCTTCAGATCGTCATGGTCAGTAAGTGTGTAATAAGCCAGTCAGCCAGTCAGTTGGCATACCTGTCAGTCACACAGTCATGGTCAGACAGTGGGTCAGTAAGTTGGTCAGCCAGTCAGTCAGTCAGCCATTCTTGTCAGTCAAGCAGTCATGGATGGACAGTGAGTCAGAAAGCCAGCAAGTTCTAAGTCACTTGGCCAGTCCGTCAATTAGTCTGTTGGTCCAGCAGTCATCATGGTTGGTAATCAGTAAGACAGGGAGTGAGTGAGTCAGCTTGTTGATCAGTTGGTCAGCAATTAACATGCCAGTGCAAATTGTTCTATCAGGTGCTAAACCATTAGTTATAATGATTACACATGATAAAAATCAATTACCAGGAACTTACAACTACATTATTGAACTAGCTAGTGATACTTCCAAAAGGAGATACCTAAATGCAGTCTGACCATGTTTACCTTTTTTCAGTGATCCATCCAAAATAGCAACAAGACAGATCACTCCTCTATAATGATCATACCAAGAGTCAAATAACAGGGCTTTCAGTGGTGCTCCAGGGTCACCCTGAGGGCTGAAAATCAAATTCATTATTTTTCTGCTTTTCACGTGAACCAGGTGAATGACCTCAAAGCACTCTGATTGACTGCACGAGCAGTTCCAATTTTTTTTTTTTTATCTGAATGACGTCTTTTGATCTGAACCCCCTGTGGGCTGCCCAATTTAGTGCCATTTTTATAATCAAGTTAAATCAACAATTACATTATGAGCTTGATATTTCTATACACCCTTGTCATCTATCATGCATAGAAATTCAGAGTGAATAATCTAGTAATTGTTTTAGTATAAATCTACTATTTGTTCAAAACTTTATCTAAATCCTCTTCACAGACACTTCCAAGAAGCAACGATTCTGAAGTGGCCCCCAGTTTGTTAACAAGCACACACTGCTGGGCTACTCACTATCTATAACAGAATAGATTGTGAGTAGCATAGCCAATCAGAGAGCAGCATTTGTGATAGAATGCTAGTAGATTTATACTTACATTCAACAGAAAAACAATTAAAATCATAACTACCAAGCTTGCAGCCCTTCATCTTTGTGACTTTGTTCGAAATAAGGGTCAATGCTCGAAAGGTCAGCTACACAAACTCATGATCACACTACCCTAAATGATTTATCTTTACCAATTAAAGTGGAAAATAGCCAAGTGTCTCACTTCCATGCCTGCCAACACAGCCCAATAATTTAAAAATAATAGTTCATTAAAGCAGAATAGCCACCTTGTGAAAATAAAACACTTATTTAACTTTACTTTTCAAAGAAAATGTGAACAAT